ATGTTCGTTGCAGCAGGTATATATTTCAGTTGCAACGTAAATAGCAACTGGCTTGCACCAACCAACGTCTCAAGAACTCTTACGAACGTGGATTGAGACTTTTATACTTATCGAGACTTCCGAGAGTGTCGAGCTTCGAATCATGCACGAGATGATTCTAATCTATCGGCACTTGTACAAATTCGCGGCGATTCGAACGGTTTCAGATGCAGTTGATTGCACGCGGTTCCGATCCTCTCCCGCACGTTTCGCCTCGCGTCCTTTTTATTTTCTCGTCCCCTTTCTTCCTTTCTCTCTCTCTCTCTCTCTCTCTCTCCCGTCTCTCTTCGCTCTCTACGTTTCCGGGGAGAGTAGAGTTAATTTTCTTGGAGCAGAATTAAACCGACCGAGGGAACGTTTCTCATTATTCGAAACACTCGTCCGCGGCGTCCAGATGAAATTTCTACCGGGCGAACTTTTAAATTAACGTGTCGGATTTATCCGCGGGGAAACCGGGTCGAAATCGTAAGCCTGTCCCGTACACTGTCCCTTGCATTTCGGCCGGCGTCCAACCAACGGGGACAAACGACGTCGGTGAATTTAGAATAATTAGCTCGATGACTCTTTTCGCTCGGTCGAGACGAAACAACCAAACAATTTCCAAATACAATCAATTAAACAGCATAATCGAATGTTCTCTGAAAATTCCAACAAACATCGCGTGATAGCAGTTGTACATCGCGCGAATATTTCTACAGATTAAAAATATATTACTGCTCGTCACGTTTCGGCCGCGTAATTTTTCATTTGATAAATATACCTCGAGACATTCTGCACACGGTGCTGCAGAACGGGCAAGTATCATGGTTGGAAAAATCGAGTTATCCTCGAAAGACTCGGCTGAAATGAAACACACGAGTCGCGGCTAGGATCAACGAGGGAATACTCGAAATGCTTGTCCGTTTTCGGTATTCCAGGCTCGACGAAAATTTCAAACACACACACACACACACACACACACACACACA